TGTCTCTCTATGTGTGTGTGTGTGTGTGTGTGTGTGTGTGTACCTGTAGCTGAGCAGTGTGCTGGTTGAGTGTGGAGCTGAGCTGCTGTGCTGTGTTGCTGTAGCAGGTAACGTCCAGTGGTAGGATTTGATCATGGGACAGTTTGAGGACCATCAGACCCACCAGCTCAGCTACGGCTCGACCCACTGACCCCAGACGACCCTGAAGAAGCTCCTGCAGACGCCCCACACTGTCCAGCTGAGTGTTGACGAACGGGTACGAACGCGCGTCCTGAACACACCGAGACGGTAACATTTCTCACATACACGAATTTAATATTATTATAATGTAAAACAGCTGTTTTGTATGTGAATATCTGTTAAACTGTAATGTATTTCTGTGATGCGCAGCTGTATTTTCAACATCATTACTCCAGTCTTCAGTGTCACATGATCTTCAGAAATCATTCTAATATGCTGATTTGCTGCTCAACAAACATTTCTGATTATTATCAATGTTGAACACAGTTGTGCTGCACAATATTTTTGTGGAAACCGTGATACATTTTATTTTTCATGATTCACAGATGAACAAAACGCTCAAAAGAACAGCATTTATTTGAAATAGAAATCTTTAGTAAATTCATAAATGTCGTTACTGTCACTTTTGATCAATTTAATGCAGCCTTGATGAATAAAATTAATTCTTCCAAAAAAAATAAAAAAAAATAATAATAATTACTGACCCCAAACTTAAAATACCAACACAATGTTTAGCACAATGAAGGTTTAAGCATAAAAACAATAAGTGTAATAGTGCTTTAAATTGTTGTTGTTTTTCCCCAACATTTTTTTTTAAGTTTTCTGTTTAATTTAATTGCAATTTTGTTTTTGTTTTTCCGAGCAAAAAATATCATACATTTTTCCCTGATTTACAGAAGAGACTTATTGGAAACCTTAAAAGTAGACACTTTACTTACATTTAATGTGCTTTTTATGGACATATAATCACTTTTGTAAATTTCTTTGACCCATTTACATTTGTTAACTTAGCATACGCTTTTATCCAAAGTGATTCACAAACAAGAAAGGAATTTGTCATAAATTTGTAAAATAATTGTTAAAAATCCTTATACAGTGACTGGTCAGTTATGAACAGCGCTCCGAAAACTAACTTTAGTCAGTGACACTTTGAATTTAAACCTGAATACTGATTCTGACCACCTTAAATAGACACCGAACTGAAAACAGACAAGAGTTCTTGTTACTTCAGTGAAATGCAGCTGCATGGCAGGAACTCCTCCGAAGGCGGTGAAGCTGTAAGCGCCGCTGTTCAGATACAACGGCTTCACTCTGCAGACAAACACACACGACAGATGAACGGGAATCAGAGCGAACATCCGGAGAGCAGACTCATCTGAACGCAGCAAACTCACATGTTCCTCCAGCCGCCCTGCCGCCGCACCAGAGACAGAATCGACTGACCCGTGTGTTTGGGATGCTCCACCTGAGACACATCAGAGAGCATTCACTCAACCAAACCACAGACCCACACACGTCTAATCTCAAACACTGCTGCTTTAAGATGCATTTCTGGTTTGTATCATTTCAGAAAGTATCAGAATCGAGAATTCGAGAGGAGCCACAGAACTCTGCGAGAAGAAGCTGTTCAAGACATCGTTTCTCTGTGCCTTTATCGTTATAGTTTTGGTGTGGACTCTGCTATTCTTTAATACTGAGAACGATTTTTAGAACTATATCTTTATCGTTATCTTTATAGTTATCGTCACTGGTATGAACGGGGCTTAAGACACACAAACTTGTTTGAGGGCTCCTTCGATGAGATCGGCGAGCAGAGGACTGGTGTAGACCGAGAGGATATCATCACCTGCACACACACACGCATGCACACACACACACATGCACACACACACACATACACACACACTCACAAGGATGGCCTGATCCAGACTGAAATAAGCCACTGCTTTCAGGTGCAACATGGTCAGATAACCCTGAAAACACACAGTCACTGATTTCACAAACATACATTATCTGCATTACATCTATCTATCTCTCTCTCTCTCTCTCTCTGTCTCAATTCAATTCAATTCATATTGCTTTATTGGCATGACATACTTAGGTACATATTGCCAAAGCATTGTACATATAATATACATCCATAAACAAATGTAAAATACATCCATATATATATTTATATAAACATTGATGGTACTACTAATGCAGATGTGTTCACTCCAGGCTTTGTACTTCAGTCTCGTTCCAACGGTGACACAGAGGCGGACGCGCTGATGTTTGGTTTCACTGTATTTTATTTTGATAAAGTACCAACTGCGCTGTCAAGTTAGCAATGCAGGA